CCGTTCGATAGCATATACAAATGCTAAAGTTGTTGCCAAACGGGCACTTAAAAAAGCCTGTTACCTGGCAATATCACCACGCAAAATATTCAAAAGAACGGTTTCTGCTATATCATCTGCATTATGGCCGGTCACTAGCTTGTCTACTTTCAGCAAAGCAGCACCTCGGTCAAGGGCCTTCCCTTATAATTAAGAAAAAACAGAACTTAACTACAAAATGCACTAAGGCTCTGTTCTTTGGGTTGAAAAAATAGGGTTGGATGTAACAAGAAGAAATTCGAAGGTGTTGGAAGAAACTTGAAAGAGTTAGAAAATAGTAAAACTTAAGAGTTGCAACCTAAGTAAAGAGGGCCTATCACTTTTCCATTTTTACACTCTCAAAAGCTTTTTAATGAAGTAAATATGAAAAATTAAATAAGGGCATATTAGCCTTTCATGGCCTAAGCCATTGTGGTTAGACCTGAAGTGAGCCGAGTGGGTGAACCTGTATAATTGTAGCACTGAATCTGTTGAATTATTTTTAAAAAAAATATTTAAAAATACTTTTAAATTAATTCAAGAAATTAATATCCAAGTGCTAGGATCTCTCCCCACTCACACACAAATCAAGGTGAAGACGAAATGAAGAAATCAAAAATATGATGAAGCACAGCGAACAAGAACTCTTCAGAGTTTCGAGATAACAGCCAGAGGGTAAACTCCACGACGGCATAGGGTTATATATTGATGATTTCAGACTTTGTATAGCTACAAAGAATGCACGCTATAAAATAAATACTAAAGGTACAACCTAAAATTTTCTACTTTTTTCATCATTCAGCCAAACATGGGTTTCATGTTTGAATACTCTATAGCCCGTAATGTAGATATAATGAAGTTCAATACTCCGTACAATTTACAATCGCGAACTACGTAAAGAGTTTTGTTTTTACCTGACGACGAAAAACACCACAAAAAGTGCAGTTGTTCTTCAGGCCTATTAGCTTTACTATTTCATCCATTGTCCATCCGTACAAATCCTTGTAGGAAACAACTTTCAATGCAAGTCCATACTAGCAGCAAAAAAAAGATCCATAACAATATTAACTTACTACCATAAAAATAAAATGAGACCGAATAAGAAAAAGTTCACCTCCTTAAGTTTCAAGATTGAAGTTTTAAAATAACAATCTCGTGCTAGGTATGTCATATGCACACCTGGATTTCGTTTCTTTTGACAGTTTCAAGGGAATCATCTCTGTATCCAGTAATGCCTTCATCCACAGACAATAAGAATAGATCAAGTCCG